AAAAGGTGATCTGTTGTCTGATTGGGTAGTTTGAGGTAAGCCCAATGGCAGATACTCTCATGTATATCAATTCTAGAAACTATTTCTGCAGTCTGTCAGACATTGGGAAGGCTTCTATTCACCCCAAGAAAGTGCAGACAAAGGTAAGAAGGTATTTGGAGGTCTTATGATGAGGCATGTGTGTAAAATCTATCTTCCAGTCTTTGTCTGGAGTGTGTCCACAAAGTTGGTGAATTGGGAAAGAGGGAGCAGGTAAATATCCCCGAGGAGGTGTCTTGGCACAGAGACGGCAATTGTGCATGGCTTGGCACATGAGGGTTTTTCAAGAGGGGTGATCAGAGTTAGAAGTTTATATAGAGTCTGGGTACCTACACGAAAGCAGTTGTGTTGGCAGGTGATGCTGTTTAAGGCCTGCTGGTCTGAAAGGAGAAGTTTCGGTCCTGGGAAAATCCATCCCTGAGTGTTTAGGCTATAGGTAGATTTATGAATTAATTGTAGCTGTGCAGGTGAATATTGAGGTGGTGGCAGGATATTTGGGATGAGGGAGAGAAGATGAGAAGGATATATATATGGCTATGGTGCATTCAACTTGGCCTGTGTGCCAGCAAAGATATTACCCTGAGAAACAGGATCTGACGATGTTTGGTGTCCCCTACAGGGAATGACTGATACCTGTTTTGAGAGTTGTGCTGCCTCTAGTAGTTTGAGGATAAAGGGTGCACTTGTGATAGGGATTCTTTGAGTACTGATCAGGCTTCTTTTCTGCCAGATGGCAGCTTGGGAATGAAGAATCCTGACTGTGTGTTTTGGTTTAAGAAAGCCATGGGTTGGGGCTGGGGATTTAGCTCAGCAGCATAAGCACCTGCCTTGCAAGCAGGAGGTCATGAGTTCAATCCCTGGTACCAGAAAAAAGGAAAAAGAAATAAAGAAAAAAAAAAAAAGCAAGCTTGAAAGCCATGGGTTAATAGGTGTGAGATCATAGGTTTGAGTCCCTGTGGATTTTTGGGGGCTGTTGGATATTGAGGAATGCACAGAAAGTTTGAAGGGTCTCTGAGAGGAATTAGCACAGGAGTGGCATCAATAGCATGTAGCGGCAGGGGCTGGTGGTATCAAACTATTGGATTGATAAAGGAGGGGGAAGACAGCTTATGGTACCAACAGCACAGGTTGGTTCAGTCAAAAAAGTGAGAGCTGTGAGAAGGGAGGAAGTGAAACAGAAGCTGAACTTTTGGAGGATATCTCTGCCTAATAGGGGTTGTAGTCAGTTTGGAATTATAAGTAAATTATGGGTGAAGAAAGGTTTGGAATCAGGAGGGGATGGGGCCTGTCTGGAGGGGTTGTGCAGGTTTTCCCTCAACACCTACAGCGGACATCATGGATTGGGTACAGGAACCAAACGAACTCAGGAAGAATACTGTAACCAGCCCCTGTGTGAATAAGGAAGGAGAGTGCCTTACCTAAGATATTCAGTGAAAGTTGGGGTTGTGAGAGATGCCTTGATGGACCCATCAATCCTATTAATCGTCTTCAGTGGTGAGACTGAGTAGAACAGCTAAGGAAGAGTCCAGTGGTGGCGGCAGTGAGATCTCCTGTGAGGGTGGGGAGTTTGATGACTTACCTGCTCTCTCACAGACAGGGCAGTTGTAGTTCCAGTGACCCTCCTGGTTGCAGAGGAGACAAGGTCTTGGTGGTGGCCACGGTTTGGGACAGGCTCATGCCCAGCATCCTTCTTTCCTGTGCATGAAGCATGGTGTAGAGGTTGCTATGGTGGCACCATTTTGTTTGGATTTATGTTTCCCAGAAGCTTTGAGTGCTGCCCCCAAAAGTAGGCATACAATATTAGTCTTCTCAAGATTATCTTGTTGTGGTTGGTCCTATCTATTATTGAAGACATGAAAGGTCAGATTGAGAAGATCTCTTTGTGGGCATTAGGGGGCCAAAATGTGTTTTTTTGTAGTTTGGATGTCACGTGTAGGTTGGTAATAATTAGGGGGGTTGAGGGTGATTCCCTCAGCAGATTGGGGGTTAAAATTAGTGTATTTGGTTAGAGTAACTGTAAGATAAGAAAGAAATTCCACAGGGTTTCCCTCAGTGTGTTGAGTGTGATTTTGAATTATAAAATTATATAAGCTAGTTACTTTGGGAGAAATTTGGGTTAGGCCTACAATAATGCAGATGGTCGTTCATATGTTGTGAGCCATGTTCTCCTTGCTAATCCCAATTGGGGTCTGCATTTGGTACTGCAGTGTCCCCAGCAGGATGGTTAAGATTAGTTTGGTGTCTAAACTCAGCCTCAACCTATGGGATAGCATCATTGAAAAAAGCAACCCCCAAATCCAACACAATGTAAACAAACCCTGCAGTAAGTTATTTTTCTTTTTTCTTTCAGGTGTTGTTTTTTGATTGTTTGTTGTTTGAGACAATGTCTTGCTGTATAATGCAGGCTGTCCTTGAACTTGCTTATCTAGCAACGGCTGGCCTTGAACTCATGGAGATCCTCCTGCCTAGGCCTCCCAAGTCTGGGATTACAGGTGTGCACCACCACAGCTGGCAACAATGAGTGAATATAAAAATCAATCCAAAGCTATGGGAATGTAGGCAGCTGGGTGCTCCCTGAGCTCAAGGGGACTGAGATGGAAGGGGAGAACATAAAAACGACTGAGATGTGCTACATGATGGGTTCTGCCTGTGTGAAGCTCTGCCACGCTCTGCAATGAGCCTGGCCAATATGGCCCTGGACAGTGCCTCCCTTCAAGACTGACTCCCACATTCTTCTTGCAAATGTCAAAATTGAAATCCCTGCTTCTCTTGCACAAGCCAACATCCCCAAGTCAGCTGTCTCAACCTCTCCCTGCCCACCCCTTCAACTCCACCTGTCAAACTAAAGAAAAGCCCAGGGCTTCTCTGTTTGAGCAGAGGGGACCTTGCACTCTCCTGCAGCCCTCCCGTACCTGCAATAAAGGCCTTTTCCTGTTTTCCTTTCTTTGCTCTTGTTTTGTGCCGTGAGAGGAAAAATCTATCATTTTTGGTGCCATAACTCAGACTGACAGGCAGGGTGGCTCCTGGGCACAAGTCCCCGTTGGAGCTCCCCATCAATGAGCTCTTTCTCTGCTTTTTCTCTTCCCTTTTTTTCCTCTTTCTCTCATCTCTGGGGCTGCCATTGCTAGCCTCCATCCAATACCAAACCACCTCGTTCTCACAGGGAGGCACTTCGTGATTTGGGGTGCTTGTCTTGTAACTCATGGGCTCATGTCAGGATTTCCCCCACATTCTTCAGGACCTGCAGTCCTTTTTCCCTAAGTGACAACTCGCGGGTGCAGGTGTTGGGGTCTACTGAGTATTTCTCTCTCCCACAAGACTGAGAAGGGTGATGAGTCTAAGGGATTGTGGCTCAGTTTTTGGAGCCTCCATCCAGCTCACCTCTCATTTGGTCACAATGGGAAATACTTCTTCCCACTCCCCAAAACACACATTTCCTGCCAGACAGCTGGCCACTGTATCCATAATGTCCACCACTGGCCAGAGGGGGCGACAAACACTAGGCCACCCTCTGCAAACTGGATGACTTGTGCAATCACAGTGGCAACCCCATGTAGAGGCCTGTTTTGCTCTCAGGGCGTGTCCCTCCCTCCTTCAGCATATGGGGTGGCCCCAGCTCTTTGGCCTGCTCCACACCATCGACCTCTGCCATATCCCCAAGAAACTTCCTGCTTTTCTCTGTTGCCATCTTCTCCGCCCCTCCCCATCACCTTGTGTCTCCTCCCTGCTCTGGCCATTTCCCCACCTGCCCATCACACCCCAACTCACTCCTCCAGCCTCCACTGCCTTCTGACCCCTCCCAGCCTCTGTGTCCCCTCCTGCTTGCCACCACCTGCCAGCTCTGCATGGCTGCTGCTATCTCCACCCCAGCCTGCTTCAAATTGTCACTCAGCCAACCTCTCCCTCCTGCCTGTGAGGTGACAGGCACTGAGGACTTGGTCCATGTTTACGTCCTTTTTTCTCTCTCTGCCTTTTCCCGTGTCTCACAGCACTGAGGTCCTTAGCTACCAACCCGTGCCATTCTGTCAAAGAGCTTCAATTCAGGGTAAACTTCTATGACTTCCTAATAGCTGTCTTTGCTTTGCTACTATCTTTTCTTTCACAGGTATAAAAAGTTGTGCTCCTTTTGGTTGTTATTTCAAGAGATCTCTGTTAAATGGCTTGTAAAAAGGATCTCACTAGTCTACATTTACAATTGTACAACTTATAAAAGTTATGAGAAATCAAATTGGCCAAATATATTTGGGTGCACGCTGATTGTGTTTGTATGTTAAACTGTGTATGTTCTGGACTGTGGATTTATAGCTGCTTAAGTGCCTGCCTGTCAAGCAGAAGGACATGAGGTTATGAGTTCCACCCCTGGTACTAAAAAACAAATACCAACACAAAAAATTGTGTGTGTTTCTATGTCTTGTACAGATTGTCTATATCTATTTGTCATATCCTTGAACAATTGTTTTTTACTTAAGCTCAACAATTTTTTCCTTTCCCATATTTGGATCAATGGTTCAAAATTTAATATGGGTTATATGTCTAAAACCCTGCTTCCACCTGAGTAACCAGGTCAACAAAATGATGCTATAATTGGTTATGTAAATTTGATAATACTTTCATTTATGTTTCGTGATGTAACAGTCTCTCATTGTTTAAAAACAGTATGCTAAATGTGGTGTCTGGATTTTTCATAAGTCGCTAAGAAATTATTAAGACAATTAAAATCCTATAGGGTGAAAGGCATTATCGGATAGGACTTCTGTGGAGTTGATGATTCAGAACTTGGCTACTTGGTAACATTTTACCAGTTCTTATTCATTGATCAGAGGCTCCAATGATCTCCATAGCTTATGGGAGACATCCCAACTAAAATTCAAAAACACATTATTGTATTATGTTCACATCGGTCATTGTCAAAAGAATTCATACAATAATTTTTTTGATTTAAATATGCTCTCATACAAAGGTTTCACATGAAACGATCGATTGTTATTAACCTTACAGTGTATTAATGTATTCATGCTTCCACTTATACAGGTCTTCCTTCCAAAAATGTAAAACAGAGATTGTTTAACAAAATTGTTTCAGATTCAGACCTCTGCCTGTAACAAAAACTTACTCCATGCACATTCTACTAAAGATAAACCAGTCAGGTGAAAGCTTATGTGCTAGATAGGGATGATCGACTAAAAGGGGTATCTTAGGTCAAAATGCAAATTCAGATTGACACAAAGCGTCATAATTGTCATGCTGTAGCATGACATATATTATGTATAGGTTTTATTTCAAATTTTCTGTGAAAACTATGTAACTGTTAACATTTTCCATGGGTTTAAGTATTAGGACATGGATGATTGATAGAAATATTGGTTGCTATTTTATGTTCTAAGGAGCCTGATATTCAGATAAGGTAATAATGCTAAACATGCTGCCTTATTACACTATAATATTACCAATCCTTACTTCTGGATGTTCAACAATAGATATTTGCAGACCAAAAATTAAAAAGATGAGTGGGCTGGGAGACAACCAATATTTTGTTTGCAGCCCTCTGAGGTCACTGAAGATCCAGGATATGAGAACCTCTGCAATGACATTCCTTATCTCCATGGGTCTTGTGATCAAGGAGATTATGGGACTACAAACAAGTGTGACACAATATATAGTGTGCCTAAGGAGAGTCACCAGGAGAAAATTCCCCCAAGTTTTCACAGAAACCAAATTGGTCAAGCAATGGCTCATTGCTTGACCATCCTGATGGCTGACACTGTCAAGAACTGAGAGGCTCCACACATGGTTCCAAGACAAATCCTGAGGAGACTTACCTGACCTTGATAGATAGCAAGAGGTTAGTTTTAATTAACACAGGTCTCAATTTAACTTGGTCTTAAACATCCAGTATAAAATATAATCAAAGGATATAAAAATGTGTATAAGTTAAATATAAAAAGGGCTCCAAGTTTAACCTCTTCAGGCAGTTTCCAATTATCCCAGTAATTAACAACTGTTATGGGCAATTAAAAATACATTACGATAATATCTGCAAAAAAGTCCGATTGCTGTTCTTATAGAAAAGGGAACACTTTCCTCCTAGCTTCTTCCCCTGGAAGGACCTCTCATACTACTTGTTATTTTTTGATTATAGCTCCTTGTCTGTTTAAACTATTCTCAAGATTTCTTCAATCCAGGTTGTGGGCCTTTATAACAAGGTAATTCCTTGTCCTAAGGGAACCCCTGGTACCAGATTCTACACGGGTCCAACCTGTCATCACAATGACTACTTCAATGCCCATCATGTCACCCCAGTCAGCAGGAAGCAGTTTAAGAGTGGCTGCCTCTAACACCCAAAAGATGGGAATAATGGATTCCGCTCCTGTGGAGCACTGCTAGGCTTAGCATGGTGCCTGCCCAACATAGCACTGGACCGTACCTCACTTCAAAACTGACTTCCACGTTCTTCTTGCAAAGCCAAAAAGTGAACTTCCCACTTGTGCACACATCAGCAATCCCTCAAATAACTGTCAAAATGTCACTCTGCCCACCCCATCGAACTCCACCCCTCTCAAACTGAATAAAAGCTCCAGGTTTCTTTGTCTGCCCTGAAGGGATCTTGCGCCCCACTGCAGCCCTCCCATGCCAGCAATAAAGGCCTTTTTGTTCTTTCCTTTCTTTACTATTGTTTTTCTACCACAACGAGGAAAAGTCTATCATGCAGATCCACCAACTATCTCTGATGAATATAATCGTTGTGTACTGTGATCACATACCAATAAAAAAAACTAAGCAAAAGGCAGTCACACAGGAGGCATAAGAAAGTGTTCAGTGCAACACAAAGTCCCGATCACATCCGAATGGACGTTTCAGGGATCCTGCCAGGAGAGTGCTGGCTCTGACTCTGCTTCAGGGAATTCCCAATGTAGGCTCCTCGCAGATGACTTTTCCACAGCATGAGGATGGTAAATGCTTCTGAAGCAAAAGCAGAAATTCTATCTTCACTTTGCACAGGTAGAGTCTGCCCAGAGACTGCTATCAGGTCACTCAATGATTCACCATCAGTGCTCAATCTGTCTGTCCTCATCTTCACTGTGTCTGCTTACAAGGCATGGGATGCGCCATCCGTACCCACTGCTCCCTGGGTGGCAGAGCACACACCAGGACTGACTAGGCCCTAGTGCACGCACCCGCCTGTTCCACTCCTCCACCCACACTCGGCCTGTGTGCCCGGTGTGCCACGACCTTCCTTGGCCTTGCCTTTCCTCTGCTTGACCAGTGACCCCATCCCCAATGCTGGCTGGAAGCCAGGCCAGAGCACAGTGGGTGATGGAACAGGAGGTATCTAGTCCAGGCTGAGGTTTCCTGATAAAAAATATTTTAATAAAATACTTGGATCTAACATGTAGGTTGCAGTAACTCAGTAGTAAAATAAATCGCATAAACAAGAAGTATTTGGGTAATTCAGAATAAACATTCTACAGCATAACTAGATTTTTCAATGCATTGTGAGGGAAAACCTGAGGATTACTAGGTCCAGCCCCAGGATGCCTGGGCCCTTGTCAAGGCAAAAATGAGGGAGGCAGAACTGCCACCCCATGGTACCACCAAGGTCCACGGGTCCTTATGACAGTAAGAGGAGCAGATAAACACACGTGGGCCCAACAGCATGACAGTCACAGTTCACAAAGCCACCCTGACTCAAGGTAGCGACAATCCCCTCTTCAAATCCCATGCAAAGCCCCTGAGCCCTTGAGAGAGGGCCATGCTGGTATTTCTTTGCCATCCCTCAAACAGAAGCCAGCTCCCACGGGGCTCGGTAACCTGTCTTTCACAATACCTCATCCTATGGAAAAGCGCAGTGCAGCCGCCTCAGGGTCACTATTAAGCTACTTCATTCGATTACACTATTTTATCATGGCAAGAAAGCAAGCACAGTTAACATGTGAACATAGTGGCACGGCCTTGTGGTGGTAAAACTTCATATACTAAAACAGCCTGTGAGTCAGGTTATCAGTCCCTGATACTGATGAGAAGAACAACTGAAGAACAAGACGATCTGAGTGTGGTGAAGCACTCCTGTAACTCCAGCACTTGGGAGGCGGAGGCATGAGGATCCCTGTGAGTTCTAGGCCAGTTACATAGAGTTGCCCAGGCTGGAGACCCCCTGCAACAGGATTAGGGAGGGAGAGAGAGATAGAGAGAGAGAGAGAGAGAGAGACAAAGAGCAAGAATGAGAGCAAGAGAGAGAGAGAGCTCTTGAAGCTTGAAATACCACCAGGAGAGGCTGCGCTGTTGGCTTACTTCCTGGAGAGAGTGTCTTTGTGGATGTGGTTATAAGCCAGACATTAGGTCTCAAGTATATCCCAGGCTGGATTGATCTTGATGGCTGAAGCAGTTCTGCCCCAGCCTCCCAAGTCACTAGGACTGCCGGCACCTCCCTAGTCTTGGGTGTCTATTTCATGGAGCAAAGCTGAGTAAGGTAGATCATGTCCTTTGTAGTAAATTCCCATTTCCTTTTCCTGAGTCTGAAATGCAGCATTCGCTAGATGGGAGAAAACCCAAGGCCTCTGTGATGTGGGGTTGGGGCCATGGCTGCCTTTCCCAAGCAGACGATTACATTCTGCTTGTGAAATGCACTTGACTTGATCTAAGGAGCCCCTGCCTTCTGCTGAGTGGCTGCTCCCTCAAATGGAGTCCTAGAGTGGGCGGCTGAACCCCAAACCCACACAGAAGTAAATGTCCTAAAACAGTGAGCTGTGAGTTCCGTATTCAGCAACAGTTCAGGCAAAGCCTACCCACTTCCTCTCTCAGAGCTGGGTAACAGGTAAGTCAAAGACCACTAAGGTCCCAGATAAACATATACCTGTTTTAGTATATGAAGATACACTTTTTCAGGTGGTCCACAGGTTGAAATTTACTAATACAGTGTCAAGTGACTGTGGTAGTGCACTGCTAGAATGCCAGCTTTCTAGGGGGCTGAGGCAGGAGGATCAAGTTTCAGCCCAGCCTGGGCAACTCAGCAACTTGATGAGATCCTATCTCAAAATAACAAATTAAAAAAACAAATATAGAGCTCAAGAGAGCTTAGCACAATAGCCCTAGGTTCAATGCCCAGTACTACAACAAACAAAAGTTCCTGTGTGGATTACTGGAATGGAAAAGCATTTTCCAAAATAATAATTTGCACGCAAAACATAAGTTACTTCATAAAAATTGATATAGACAACAACAGATCAGGTGTGGTGGTGCATCCCTGTAACCTACTACTCAGGAGGCTGAGGCAGGAGGACTGCAGGAAGTTCTAGGACAGCCTGGGCTACATAGTGAGTTCAAGAACGCCCTGAAGGACACAGTGAGACTCTACCTCAAAACAATAACTGACAAAAAGAATAAATCTATGCATACAGTATGATTGATGAAAGAAAGCAAGGTATAAATATTTCAAAGAAAAGCCTACTATTTGAGCTTAGGGAAATCTCTCTTTGTTATTAATCCAAAGAACAGATTTCACGAGCTATTATCCAATGAGCGCATCTTTTCAAGTTTCACTTTATTCCAGTAAGAATACTGAAAACATCACACTGTCCACAAATATGATCAATAGCTCCTAATTAATAAAGAGCTGTACTGGACATGGCAGTACATGCTTGTAATCCCAGTTGTTCAGGAGGGTTCCAAGTCTGAAGCCAGCCTTGGTAAGTTGGCAAGAGCTTGTCTCCAAACAGAACTGAAAATGGGCATGGATGTCACTGTACATCAGCATTGCCGGGGTGTAGCCAGCATTATGTATGTGTGTGGGCAGAAGTATGTGTGAGGGGAGAAACAGACACAGAGAGAACAGAAGACAGTTACTCAGAACCCCACTACGAATTATACCACCTGCTGACACTCTGGAGACTTCTCTGCATCCTGACTGACAAATGCAGAAATGCACAGAAGTATTACAATCAAATGCTGGGACCTTGTGAATGTCCAAAACTGCGCCTGCTCCTCAGATATCAGACCAGGTGTCTTTTCTATGACTAAGACATTCCCCTTTTAAGAGTACACAGTCACTTTAGTGTTATTTAAAATCACTGATTCTATGTTAGAGTGTTAACTGAAGCTAAAAAGCAATTACAGATTAGGAGAGTTCCCCAAACATCGCAAATTCATTTCACTTGAAACTTGCTATTTAAATGACATATCAGAGACAAAAATCCAAAAACTTCAAGGTGCAAATCTTTGCTGGTCTTCAGCATGTGGCAATCCTCTTGTTTCAGCCTCCTGAGTGCTGAGATCAAAGGCACACATGGCGACACCTGGCCCAGTGGAATTCTTGTTAGACTGTGGTGAGAGCCTTTTCAAGCTGCAGAACAGTTTCCCTGAGTGCTGGCTCTGCTGCCCAGTTGACTTTACACCCCAAAATGACGTTCTATAGTTTAAAATAAAAACAAAAAACAAGTCAAAATATAACAACTTTGAAATGTAAGCACTTTAAAATTTTAACAAGATTTTTGTTAAATAATACCTTCACTAAGCTTATCTAATGTTTTAAACATTTACTAGAAAAGTACAGTAGCTCTGTATTCACAGAAAAGAGTGATACACAATTATTTTTTCTGTCCCAAGAATTCAACTCAGGACCTCATGCTAGCCAGGCAGGTGCTGTGACACTTGCCTGTATTCCCAGTGTGTGATACACTTTTGTCTTCATTTCTACTTACAAGAGGCTTCAGCAGGGTGAAGGTATGTTTATGATGTTTGCAAATATCTCATCAATTTCCACAGACAGTTTTTGCTTCTTTCATCCCTAGGCCCAGGGGTGGAACCCATGGCCATCACACTGAGCTGCATCCCCAGCCCTTTGTGTGGACAAACATGGGCCTCCACAGCCAGCTCAGTCAGCCTTCTCTCTCTCTTTCTTTTCTTTCTTTCTTTCTTTCTTTCTTTCTTTCTTTCTTTCTGTCTGTCTGTCTGTCTGTCTGTCTTTCTTTCTTTCTTTCTTTCCATTAATGTCTCAGGGGAAAAATCTTATGGCAACATTTACTAGAGTTTACTTGGACCAGTCATCATGCTGATATTTCTCTTTGTGATGGGGTTGGGGTCAACCCCATGTCCTTGAGCACCCACTTGAGCTAAATTCCCAGTGGCAGCAGTCACCTTCTTAGCTGCCACTCTCACCCAGGTCCACTCCGCCCTTAAACTTGGAGGCTAAAGCTGTACTCCAACCTGCCTCCAGAGCTGTAGAAAACATGCCAGTTCTAAATCCTAATGATTAACCACGATGAAAAATGTGCTGACTGTACATGAACATTACATATGTGAGTACAGCAAATATCAGTAGACAATTATGATTTTTGCAATGCTGGGACTGAATTCAGGGCTTCACCAATGCTAGGCAAGTGCTCTCCAGTGCGGCTACGTACTCAGACCTTGTACTGAATTAGCTTATGACCACAGCCTAACATAAACCGTGGTAAGGTCTTCATATCAGTGGTGTTTTTAAAAGGTCTTTATCCCTCCTTTCCTGATTTATACAAATGTTACCTGGAACACATGTTGAGTAACTGTAGCAAGCTCCATCTCTGTCTGTAGGCTTTGTTGCATGGTGTTTATCTTGTCTGAATTTTCCATACTGTCCAGCTCCTTTCTCGGGTTTTTTATTCTCGGTTTGTAGTTTGAGAAGCTGACTTTCTGAAGCATCTTTTAATTCTGTTAGGTTAAAATTTAACAATATATTATATATGAGAATTCTATAAACAAAGATCTTGAAAAAGCAAGCAGCCGAATATTTCCTAATTATTTCAGACAACAGAAAAATTTGAGTTAATAGCAGCTAGGTTGTACATTCTATTTTGATCTGAAAATGACTCCCCAGACTTTTTGGCAGTGCAGATCAAATCCAGGAGTGCCTTTGCACTTCCCTTTTTCATGCCTACGCCATCACTCCGTTTCATTTTTCTGCAGTGCTGGGGACTTCACCTTGGGCCTTCAAAGGAGGCTACTTTCTCAGCACTGTTATATTTGGAGACAGGGTCTTCCCAAATTGCCTAGGGTGGGTTTGAAGTCGGGATCCTTCTGCCTCAGCTTTCCCGAGGGCTGGGATTACAGGTGTGTGCCACCGCAGCTGGCTCCAGCTTAATTTGTTCATTTTGAGACAGGCTCTGGCTACATTGCTGAGACTGGCCTGAAACTTTTTGATTTTCACCTCTAACTCCTAAACAGCTTGGATGCCACTAATCCGACTTATAATATTTTAATTCCCTCAGTGAAATGATCAGGACATTTATGTGTGATCATGACAGCTGTCTACAACTGCTGCAAGTGGCATCATGTAAACAGAACTCGCTCTAAGTTACCAGAAGAACAGGTAGGAGATATACATAAAAACAAGCTCCTGCTTATGCCCTGAGCTAAATCCCCAGCTCCTCCTGAACCTCAATTTTCTGTTATTTGTAAACCTTCACAGTATTTTACTGTGAAGGTGTGATAAATGCAGTGATCTCAGTGTGAAGGGAATGTATGAACAATCCTTGTCCAAACATAGTATGTCCAGTTAGTCTTCCAAAGAGTGAAATTAATAAGCTCTACTGTTTTGTTTTTGAGACCAGTATTGCTATATAGTCCAAATTGAAGTGGAACCTACCATATATTCCAGGATGGCCTCTAAATTGGGGTGCCACGTGGCAGGAGTGCCACAGCCTTCTGACCACAGGGATTACAGGCATGCATCACCACACCCAATTGAAACTCACAGTTTTTAACAAACTGTGTTTTTAAAGCAAGAGATTTAGCCTGCCTCACAGTGCTAGGTCATGAGTTTGATCCCTGGTACCAAAAACAAAAACAAATTGTGCTTTTAAATGTCTACGTTTAGCTGACTGTGTTGGTACCCTACACTACATAGCAGCACCCAGTCTCAAAAAAAGTGTATGTTTAGTCAAGTGTGTAGTGCATCCCAGTAATCACAGCACTTGGGAGGCTGAGGCAAAGAATTGCAAATTCAAGCCCAGTTCAGGCAATTTAGCAAGACCCTGTCTCAAAAAAACATTGGTTAGAGATGTGGCTCAGTGCAGAAGACCTGGGTTCAATCCCCAGTACCACTGAAGTGCGGGGGGTGGGGGGGTGGGTGGGGGGGGAGTATGTATATTCCTATCCCATAGCTTAGTCTTTGCTGGGTGCAGCTTTAAATCCTCTTAATGCTATATAGGTAGACACTAGGCTTGGCATGTGACTATTTCTAGGTGGTGAACAAATGCCTCTAGGGATAGAACAAATAGAATTTACAAGTGAAGATCATGAACTGAGTGGTATATGTGCTTCTACTCCCAACTCTGAAAGCCTGAAGCAGGAGGATCCCAAATTTTATCCCAGTTTGAGCAATTTATTTTATCATCCCCAGACTAAAACTTAAAAAAAAAAAAAAAAAAGGCTGGGTATGTAGCTCAGTGTAACAGCTCTGAGTTCAGTCTCCAGTACCACAAAGTAAATAACATTTTAAAAAAAAATTTTTAAACTGCTGTAGCAAACTGTGGATCTGAGTTACTTTCTAGCATTTCAGGAGGCAAAGGGAGAAGAACTGTGTGAGGTTGAGGCCTGCCGGGGCTACAAGAATGAGTTCAAGGCCAGCCTAAACTACACAGTGAGACCTTGTCTCAAAAACAGGAAAAGAAAGTCTATCTCTGCTGGTCTTTCAGGTCACATCCATTGTCTATTTACTTAGGTTGCACTGGCTGAGCTGTTGATGAACTTCCACATTCCGGATTATGTCCTTATGGTTAATACATTGTGTCAATTTGAGCAGTTTAGAAGTGTGAGAGACTCAGCAGGGAGCCAGGGTCCTTACTTTGTAAATATCCTCATCCTGAGCAAAGGAGGGCAAGGAGATGTCCTGAGTGCTACACCCACCCTGGGTGTGGGCCTGGCCTGTGTACAATATAAACCAGGAGAAAAGGCTTGTTTTCTTCCTTTTTGTTCTGGCTGCTGCCTTGAAGTGTTGCCCCAGTGCCATGGCACCCTGCCTTGGACCCCGCTGAGTATGGACTGAAACCTCCAAAAACTAAGAAATAAACTTTTTTTCCCCTTCACATTAGGCATTAGGTATTTTGGTCTCAACAACAAAATAAAAAGTAACCAAGACACTAGCCATGGGCAAAGAACAGATTCATTCTTTATTGTAGTTCCTTAGTTTTACAAGTGGAGAAAAGCATTTGGCTAAATTGGATAGTTCCTTTATTCTACCACTTTGGATATGATTAGAATATTAGTTGTAATTACTCCGGGAGATTACCATGGATTTACACTTGCTTTGCTCTCCTCTACTAACCCTTCCTTTATGCAAGTTACAGCTGGGAAAATTCTTAATGTGTCAGTCTTTCACAAAGATGCTTCAGATTTGTTGGGAGAATCTTCTGACCTTTTCATGGTTTTTGAAAAAAAAAAAAGTCTTCCCAGAGTGGTGGCTAACAAACAGGGTTTGGAGTTACAGTTCTTTGCTGCATGGCCACGCCCCCTTCCTTGGAATAGGATGGCTGATTACAGGGCAAGGAAGAAAGGACAAGGGGAAAGAATGAGAGAGGAGTGGGTAGGTAAGAGAAAAAGAGAAAGGAAAAGTGTAAGTTGTGTGTCCTGGACAAGGGTGAAAGGTATGAGGGCGGCCAGGCTACAAGGCTCCGGGCACAAAGAAACAAGCAGCAGTGCTAGTATCTCTCCATTTCCCTCTTGCTGCCACCACGCCCTGTGGAGGTGGAGCCCTCTGTTTTACAGATGGCCTCCCTGGTTTAGGCCGTGACTGCTTGAAGCCCACAGATGGCATCAGAGCCTGATCTAATGTACTTGTGTTTTTACGGCGTTAGGGATTGAACCCAGGCCTTTTATTTTTTATTTGAAGTCAGAATCTCAGTTGCTTAGGATGAGTTTGATGTTGCAGGCCTGCCTCGGCCTCCTAAAGTGTGGAGATTATAAGCATGTGCTACCATGCTGGCCAGACCTTGATTTTAAATCCAGCTCTTTTATTTACAGTACAATGTAGGAAACCTTTTGGCAACTTTTTTTTTTTTTTTGGCAACATTTTTGATTGAGGCCTGATGCATATGGGGAAGATTTTGGTACCAACAAAACAAAATAAGCAACGGGTAGATATGCCGATGGGAAAGAAAAAGTCCCAGTTCATGGAGCTCCTTTCTACTATCTCTCCTGGTCCTAACCTTTGCAGGGACTCTGGAACTTCCCTGCCTCTCCATTTCCCAAGCCTGGAAATGTTAGTAACTCCACCGTGTTAGGCATATCAGCTTGCCCAAAGTAAACTGATGTGATCCCCCCACCAACCTCAAAGGTACACTACACCCTTAAAGCTGCACAGCTAAAACCTCTGGTTCTTCTTTCGTAATATACAGCCACCCTATTCACAAGATTTAGAGTAAAACCACCTCACCATCTGCACTGCTCTCAGCTGCCACATGCTCATCTTGGAGTCCCCATATCCACACCGAGGTGCTTCTGCCTCAGGGCCTTTGCACTCCCAGCCCCTCTGCCTCCACAGCTCTTTCCCCAGGTAGGAGTGTGGTGAACATTTTCCTTCACTGGACTATGGCTCGCCTCCTGTCCTGAAGACTTCCTCTGACCACCTTTACTTTTAACTGCGACCCTTTGCTTCTCCAATCTTAATTTCTCTCAGCAGCACCATTCTTACAGTGCACAGTGCGCTCTTCTGGATCACTGTCCTTAAAGCGAAATTCCAAGTCCAAAGTGTTTTTCTGGTCAGAGTTCACTGCTGTTTCCTCAGTGGCTCAAGAGGTTTCAAGCGCAAAGTCGGAGCTTAATACATCCTGTGAGATGAACAGGCACAGTCAGCCTCTTTCGCTGAAATCTTTTAGAAATCAAATCAGTCTCCTCCAACCGGCCCCAGCGGAGCGCGCTACCGCTGCACGGCCGACTCAGCTGGCCCCGCCGCTCCCCGGCCTGCACCCTGCTCTGGCAGCTGCTGTCCGCAGCAGCCGGAACGTTTCTGCCAGGCTGCAGCGCTCTGCGGAAGAGCTTCAGCGGTGCGCTTCTAGGCCGGCGGCGCGTCGTTCGCGCCGGGCCGGTGAGTCCGCTGGTGCAGCTGGGGTGTGCCCTGGCCCGCCGGTCGGGAGGTTGGGCGAGAGGCCTGGGAGGCTGTCGGGCGGAGGACCGGCCGACTTGGCCTGGCTGGCCCAGTAGGGAAGGACTGTGGCAGGGAGCGCGGGAAGGTGGCGAAAGACGCGCAGGGCCGCGAACGCGGACGTGGTTCCGCCTGCGGGAGGACTGGAATGGTGGTCGGGGTGCGATCCCTCTTCTGGGCTGGCTCTGTGGCAGCCATTGAGTTGCCCACCCCGGAGCCCTGAGTTCGCACTTGGCGGGCCCAGGGCTAACTTGCCTGTTTCATCAGCGAATGCCTTCCCGAGGGCGGTGCTGGGTGCAGCTCACGTTTCTTTGCAGATACCATTTCGATCTTGTCCAACAAAATAACTGAACACTACGTGTCCTTTTTTTTTTTTTTTTTTTTTTTTTTTTTGATGTGCAGGATAAATGCTGAAAATAGGACAGTGTTTAGTCACTGTATACTCTGCTATCATGTGCGGAATAGCACAGGTGTTAAAATTATTGTCATTTCTAGTTTTTCAGGTTGTTACAGCAGATCACCAAATTTCCTGAAAGAAATTAATTTCTTACAAAGACAGTGTGTGGTTTGTTAATCCAGAGGAAATTGTTCGGAATTTTAGCTAATAACATCTGATTATAAGGTGTCACAAAAAAGTGATACCTTAGCAGGAGTCCCCAATTTATCAGTGGATTTTAATTTCACAAGTGCATTTATAGGTCGCCTCTTTAAAGTATTTTCTATAAAAGCATGATACAAATGGAGGGTAAAATATTGTTATGTTCCTTATCTATATATACAGAGTCTGCTAAAAATATGTGTACATATGTAAGGAAGAGAAAAAGTTGTAACTTAGCTATGGTGGTGCACACATCTTAATCCCAGCGTTCTGGAGGCTGAAGCAGGAGGATCATTGCAAGTTCGAGACCAACCTGGGCTACAAAGGGAGCTGGAGACTAGCCTGAACAACATAGTGAGACCTTGTCTCAAAAAGACAAAAGGCCAAACAACAACAACAACAACAAAAAGAACCCTTGGGAGGTTCAAGCTAGCCTTGGAAACACTTTGTAGCCTAGGCTGGTCTCAAATTTGCAACAATCTGCCTACTTAAACTTTCCAAGTGCTGGGATTACAGAACTGTGCCACTGCACCCAGCTCTAAGAGGCAGATTCTTTAAAAAAAAAAAAAAATTGTTCCAAAAGCTGTACCTGCTGCCAACTACCTATGGCCCCAGGTGTTTTGGAGGCTGAGGCAGGAGAATTATTTGATGGCAGGAGTTTGAGACCAGACTGGGAAACATAGCAGGACCTTTTATGAAAAATAAAGCAAAACAAAACAAATAAAACAAGTTTACAAAAAAAAAAAACGCACTTGGTTGAATATTTTATTAATAGTTAATTTATTGAGGCATCATAAGATTAATACGTTACGTTTGGTCTCTACAACAAGTACCCAAAGTGGTGCTTATTAGTTTCCTGACATTTATTAGTACATTGAACTGCTGCTGCATGGGTCACCTTGGTCGCTAAGACTGCTGCCCATGCATTTTCAATTTCTTCTCTAAGGGCCAGCAGTGTAGTGGGTTAGGGTAGCAGTGTAGTGTCCTGCGATACAGGACATCCTTTAGGGTCCTCCACAGATAAAGTATTAAAATACTGATAAAAGTTTTTCTAAAATGTGTGTACCTTTTTTGGGCAGATTTTCTCTGTATATATTTATTTCAAGGCTAATCATTACCGAGCAGGTAGAGGATGATCTTATTGATATACAATTACCTGAGGTAGGCAGACAGGGGCACTTAGAGAAAATCTTTATTTTTGGTGAATTGATAAGTCTTCCTGGGCAATTAGGGAAGATTCTGGAGGAGCAGGGATAACACCCTTATATGTAAGAGTCATAGTCATTGAGACACAGGCGAAGAAGGATGAATCCAGGTGGGGATATATTCACTCAATTTAGGATCAGCCACTCCTCCAGCTCAGGGCTGGAGACAGCGATCAACATAGGTCAGTCCCAAAAGCCAAGTGTAGTAGTGCACCCCTGGAGTCCAAGCATTGGGGGGACTGAGGCAGGAGGATTGCCACAAGTTTGAGGCCAGCCTGGAGTATATAGTGAATTCAAGGCCAGCCTGAACTATGTAGTGAGACTGTCTCAACACACATGCAAACATTGGTCAGTCACAGTGTTTTCCTTAACAACTCCATATTTTTGGCAAATTTCTGTAAACTTATCCTTGAATTCTGAAACCACACTTAGTCCTTGGTCAACTTCCTGTTGACATTCTTGAAATGAAAATCTAGTCAGTATAGACTGTGTCAAATATATTAAATATATTTGTCATACTGAACAGTTTCAGTACATTCTCCATTTACAATTGTACGGAATTTAAAGGGTAAGGAAGATTTTTGCCAAGGGATAGGTGTTTTCTGTTTTTTCCTCTTAGTCAAAGGCCCCTAGGATGCAATACAACTCTGGAATCTAACTCATATAGTGAGAGTACAGTGGTCAGGCACTCCTTATTGCTATGTTATCTAGCAAGTAGAGGCCTAAGAAGGCAGAGTAGCCTTTGGAAAACAGTTCGTCCTGACTAAAAAGCTGTCTTTATCCATGCCAGGGACAGGGTATATGACTCTCATCTTGGGTTGGGCCAGGAGACACCACTGGGGAGGGTGGAGGTTGGGTGTGCTAGAGATGTGTATTATTTGGTTATGGCTCATGGCCTCTTTCTACCACCAATTTTGGTATTTTTGTTTTTTGGTTTCTTGGTTTTGTTTGTTTTTTATATAGTTCAGGCTGACTTTGGACTTTCTATGTAGCCCAGAGTGGCCTCAAACTTGTGGTGATATTCCTGCTTCAGCCCCTGGGATTACGGGTATGTACCACCACACCTGGCTATTTATTTTTATTCTTTTGACTTATGATATTTAAGCACTTAGCCATTTATAAATGATGTTTCATTCTTAAAAACTTGATAATAAAATTCAAACCTACAGCCAGGTGAGGTGGCACACACCTGTAATCCCAGCACTTGGGAGGCCAAGGCAGGAGGATCAGCATGAATTTAAGGTCAGCCTGGGCTACATAATGGGACCCTGCCTCAAAACAAAAAATTCCAACCTACACAAAGGTGGAGAGAGAACATAATGAATCATCAGATACTTACCAATTGTGGTAACTGTCACTTGTGGATAATATTTCAGCGACACCTGTATTGAACTGCCATAAATCTGTGTTCTTGTTTTGTGATGTCCATAAAGCATTTTTGTTCTTTCACAAATTGTAAAAGGGTGTTTATTTCTATTGGAATCATGTTTGTTGATAAATATTCATATTTGGATATTTTCACTAACAACAATTTGTTTTTTCTCTTTTTTTGGTGCTAGGGATCAAATTCATGACCTTGCTGGGTGTGATGGCACACTCCTGTAATCCCAGCACTCAGGAGACTGAGGGAGGTGAATTGTTAAAAGTTCAAGACCAGGCTGGACTACAAAGTGAGCCCGAAGACAGCCTGAACCAAATAGCGAGACCCTGTCTCAAAAAAAGACAAGACAGAAAAACAAAACAAAAACTCATGACCTCGTACTTGCCCAAGCAAGGGCTGTGCCACTGAGCTATATCTCTGGCCCTAACAAAAATGATTGAGTAAACTACAAAGAATAAGATGTACCTACATTTGGGGCTGGGGATTTAGCTCAGCGGCGTATGTGCCTGCCTTGCAAGTGTGTGGTCGTGAGTTCGATCCCTGGTACCAATAAAAAAGAAAAATACCAAAAAAAAAAAAAAAAAAAGATGTACTTACATTCTTATTTTTCTTCTTCTGGTTCGAGGGGTTAAATCCAGGGCCTTTTGCATGTTAGGCAAGTGCTTTTGAGCTATAGCCACAGCTCTTCTTTTGAATTTTATTTTGAGACAGTTTTGCTTAATTGCCCACCCTGGCCTTGAGCTTGAAAGCCTTCTACCTCATCCTCCAGAGTAGTTTGTGATACAGTATGCACTGCCATACCCATCAGTAGTTTTTTTGGTTGGTTGGTTGGTTGGTTGGTTTTGGTATTGGGGGTTGAAGTCATGACCTTGCACCTGCCAGGCAGGCACTTACGCCACTGAGCTGTATCCCCAGTCCATTTTTGGGTTTTTGAGACATGCTCTGTGTTTGTAGTTCAGGCTGGCCTTGAACTCACTGCAGTCCTCCTGCCTCAGACTCCTGAGTGCTGGGTTTACAGGTGTGTGCCACCATGCCTTCCCCCCGCCATTTAACTTTTAAACAAGTGGATGCATTTTGTACAGACATGTTTAGAACATTCATAGTCTTATGGCTTTTACAGAGTTCTGAATAATACACACTTTGTAAAATATGGATGAAAAACCTGAAAGAACTAAGCTATGGGAAGGAGGCTATGAGAGAACTTAGTAAGTATGGCATTGAGGCCTCTTTTTTTTTTGTAGATATATCTCTTTTGGCTTACATCTTTATTGAAATTACTTTATATGTGTTAAAAATCGCCCACTTCCAGTGTGTAGTTCAGTGATTGTTTTTAGAAAATTTACTATCATAAGCCAGAAAATTTCCTATCATAAGCCATTGTCTTTTTGAGACAGGGTTTCACTATGCAGTTCAGGCTGACCTTGAGCTCACTTTGTAGCCCAGGCTGATCTCGAGCTCACAGTCCTGCCTCAGCCTCCTGAGACCTGGGATTACAGGCATGTGGCACCATAAATCAGCCTTTTTTTCCTCCTATAAACCAGTTTTAAGAACACTTTAACTACTCCAATGACTACTTAATTAATGGCTACTTACATTTAATTCCATTTTCACTGCCTGTAGACACCCACTAATGTATGTTGTTTATTATAGATTTTCCCTTTCTATTTCCCATAATCATATAATACGTGGTGTGTTGGGCTGGGGATTGGGCTCAGCAGCCTAAGTGCCTGTCTGGCAAGCACTAGGTTGTGAGTTCAATCCCTGGTACCAAAACAAAAGTGGTGTGTTGTATCTGGCATTCACTTAATATACTACTTCAAGGCTCTTCTATGTTGTAGAGTATGTTGGTGCTTTGTTTCTTTTTTTCCCTTTTCTTTGAGATGGGATCTTACTGTGTGGTCAGACTGATCTTGAGCTCACAGTCTTTCTGCCGCAGTAGCTCTTCAGTAGCTGAATTGGTTCCCTGCGAGATGACGGGGATGAGTACTGGGGATTATACCTGGGGATCTTTACCATTGAGCTATATTCACTGCACTTTTCATTTTTTTATTTTGAGTTAACGTATAGGTTGCTCAGGCTGGCCTTGAACTTCTGATCCTCCTGCATCAGCCTCCCAAGCAGCTGGGATTATAGGCATGTGCCACCACACCAAGCTTGGTTTTTTTTGGGAGGGGGGTTAATACTTTTTTTTTCTTTTTTCCAGTACTGGGGGTCAAACTCACGACCATCTGCTTGCAAGGCAGGTACTTATGCCACTGAGCTAAATCCCCAGCCCCCCAAACTTGTTTTTTTAAACTTTCAAATAGTATTCTATTATATTGTTAAGACACATTTTTGTTTTATCAGTTCAGCAGCTGATGGACATTTAGGTTGTTTACAGTTTTCACAATTACATAGAATCATACTGTGAACACACATGTACAAATATCTATCCACCTCTTTATTTCTTGGGTTATTTTTAGCTTATATTTTAAACCATTATTACTTACAGGGAAATTGTTAAAGAAGATGAATCTGGCTCACTTAACGCTACAATAGAAGACATTCTTTTCAAGGCAAAAAGAAAAAGGCCGGTAAATTCTTCCTAAGTTTGTCATGAAAGGAAATTGTGTCCCTGAACCTTTTGGCCCACCTGTGACTATCTTAGAACTTCATTTCCTTTTGTGTTTCAGAGAAAATGACTGGTAGTTGTCTGAATAGGCAGAAAGAACTGGTACTATCATACCTTACCTCAGTAGGGAAATGGGTTTCAGGAATTATCTACAATCTCTATAATTATGTGTATTCCAAAATTTAATAATTGACTTCACTAAAAAAATGCATATTATTTAGCAAGTTGTATTGACTTTTTGGATAGCATATGATATTCCATTAAAATGCTTGTATAATTTTAACAGAGTATTTGAACACCATGGACAAGTTCGACTTGGAATGGTATGTTATCTTTTTTCTTTTACTGGTACAGAACTAGTTTGGATTACAGAAATATTCTGGCTCTATAGAATGAACAATAATAAAGCAACAAACTTTTTAAAAGAATATATTAAAAGCTATGTTCAGAAATGTGAATATTGAATGTGGTTTTACTTCTTGGTGAAAGATGTGACCGGAGATTATTCCCTTCCTTTTTGGTAGATGCGCCACCTTTATGTGGCGATAGACGGATCGCGGACAATGGAGGACCAAGATTTAAAGCCTAATAGACTGACATGTACATGAAAGGTACAGAAAGATCACTTAAAGTCATTTACATGTGTCCCAAATGCAGGAGGGACAGTGGATTCTGGAAAAAAGTGCAGGAAATTTTTTTCTAGTTGATACAAGTGACAGCTAAGAGATATGCTACAAGGAAATAGTACAAGGAAATAATAAGCTTCCGGGAGAACATGGCGGATAGTTAACAGCAACTACCGGAGGCTCTCTGAAAGGCTCGGCTCAGAAATCAGGAATGATGCGGACTAAGGAGACATGAGCCGGTAGAGATATGCTCTGCTGACTCAGGAACGAACTGGGCTGAGAGAAACCAACTTGGAATGCAGTCCTGGCGCTAAAATAGGAACAGAAAAGTCTCGGTGTGGAGGCTGGACCCCGCGCCATTGGAAACTGCAGTTTGGATTTCCCGCCGCTCAGCGGCTGACTGCCTCCACAGCGGCTCGGCAAGGAGAGATGCGCAGAAGCTCTGAGAACAGGAGTCTGCGAACGGAGACCAAAACAGGATGGACAAGGAGGCGTACACGAAAACTGACTGGTGGCGAGGTGAGTGAGAGAAACTGACACTCCACCACAGTTTGACTCCAGCGGAGGACTTTCTGGGCTCGGGCAGTCCTGTAAGAGCAGGGTGCGGTGCCGACTCCAGCCACACATTCCCCTCTCGGACGGGATTGGTGAAAAGTGCCTGGCCTGTGTGATGCTGCGGGCGGACTTGGTAGGCTGGCCTAACCCAGATCCCAGAGCCTGATGGTGGCCCGGAGGGGTAACTCCCGCGTAGGCTGCCTAGTCCGTAACTCCCTGGTGCGCAGCGGTGGGCGGGAACACCTAGCCAGCGCAATTTGATCAGGCTGTGGCTGACAGGCAGGGAAGCTGGGCCTCCTATGTAAGCTTGCATTTTATAAGGAACGGAGAAAATGGGGAAGGGAAGCAACAAGAAAGGCTCCTCGGCCCCCAATTCTGAGAAACAGGCAATAGTGGACACCGCACCAATAGACATTAAGCGCCATATAGAGAGCCTCATAGACCAATTCAGGAATGAAGTTATCAACGACCTGAAGCTAGAAATATCCAGAATAGTTAGAGAAATGCTAAGCACCACCCAGGAAAAAACAGATGGTGGAATGGAAGAACAGAAAAAGAGGGGAGAATTGTTTGATGGAGAAAACAGAGAAAGCATAGAGTACGTGAAGCAGGTTCAAAGGGACTATCAAGAAATTAAGAAGTCTATCCAAGACTGGCATAACAGCTTGAAAGAAACTAAGGACAGACTATCTGAACTGGAGGGCAGACTTGTAATATGGGAGAATGAAATGAAAAACTTCTTAAAAATAACAAAGAAACAAACAGCAATAATACAAAGACAAGAAGATGATAAGAGGAGCCATAACTTAAGGATTAAGAACATAAAAGAAGAAGTAGGGACACAAACAAGTGAACTACAAAAGCTACTCACAGAAATAATCCAGGAGAATTTTCCTAATTTAGCAAAAGATAAAGATACTCAGATGTATGAGGCTTACAGGACCCCAGCTACCTATAACCCTAACAGAGAAACACCCAGGCATATAATAATAAAAATTCCAGAAATTCAATACAAGAACAGAATATTAAAAGCTGTAAGAGACAAGAAACAGACCACTTACAAGGGAACACCCATCAGAATTACAGCAGATTTCTCTGCACAAACCATCAAATCACGAAGAGCATGGGGGGAAATAATTCAAGCTTTGAAAGATAATAATCTCCAGCCAAGATTGAGATATCCTGCACAACTGTCCCTGGAAATTGATGGAAAAACAAGGTGCTTCCAGGATAAAGAGGAACTGGGGGAATTTGCAACCACCAATTCAACTCTACAGAAAGTATTGCAGGATATTCTAAAAAAAGAAAAATACAAAGAACCCAGAAATAGTGGCGGGGAGGCCACAACGAATGGAGCAGAGAACAAAATGAAGAAGACAAACTGACACCTACTGACAGAAAAAGAGCTCAACAGAAATGAGACAGAGAAGATTGGATGATAGGAACAGCTATTTTAGAGAAAATGACATCTTAATAGGTAATACTGATTTAGTATCATCTTGTTTTGAAGTCTCATCTAGCTTTTGTTCTTCTGTCTCCAATGGTCTAAATAGGTTGTATCTTATTGGATTTTATTATGTACAATAGTATAAGCAAAAACCTTTTAAAGACAAGGAGATTATACAGAAACCATTGTTCATTTTCTGTTAGTCGATTCTAAATACTCTGTAATGCTGTCATTCTCTTAAATGGTTTTACATTGTTTTGATATACTTAATGCTACAGTATATGAAGTTGTACTCAAGGACTTCAAGGAAAGAGTCAATATGGTAACTACTTTTAGGTCGGAATTATCTGGTGGTGAAACACTGTTCTGCTTAAATGGTTATGTTTGATCTGCGCTGTTTTGCTGTTATGCCTTCTTTTTTCTCAATCTCCACTCCATTATTTACTTTTTTATTTTTATCCGTTTAATTAAAGGGAAAAAAATAGCAGGATATAATATAGTAACCCACTTTGACTTTCTATTATCTGGATTTGAAGCCCTGTATTACTCTCACCATCTTGTTTTTGACTGATGTTCCCCTATTCTGTTTTGATGGATAGTATCAGGTTCGAAAGTTTAGGCATCAGCTGAGAAGATAATGAGATTCATTATAACGTCCATTCTCGTTGACTTTTATCTACTTTTGAAGACCTACAATGTCTCCAATGTTTTGGTTTTGTCGGTTTTGTTCTTTACTATTTTGTTCAATTGTATTATACCTAATGATATAGGCAATTCTATTAGAGATAGCGGGAGGCATTATGGTAACCATTGATGATCACCTTGTATTATGTTTTTATATTATCTATTATGTCCACCCTTTTGACTTGACCGATTCTGTCCTGTTATGTCTCATTTGGTTTTACTCTCTTCCAAAAAAGCAATAAGAACCGTGGGAGCAATGAAACCCAAAATGTGTAATAGTCATTGTACAAAAGAGAGGAAAAGAAAGTGCTCTAAACTATATAACTGCATGTATATTTAAGTGTATAAGATAGAAGATGATATCACAGAGTTTTATTGGATCATTGAACAGAACTGTTTGCAGTATCATTGTTGGAATGTCCACTCTACAAGCTTTAATTTTGTGACTTGAACAATTATTTTTAAGATGGCAATATGTAATCCCTTAACTAGTGATTTCCTACTGTTCATTTTTTTCTTCTGTAAATCTGTATAACTTGTACCCTTTCACTTTTTTTTTCTTTTCTCCTTAAATTAAAAAAAAAAAAAACAAGGGAATAATAAGCCTCACCTGCTAACTATGTAAGTCTGATTTCCGCCTTTCTGTCCCAAGTCAGGGTCTTGTTTTGTCACTTGTCCCTTTCCTTCACTGAATCTTCATTCTCCGTTCACTTCCTTGAATCTGTCTTCTCAGCTTACAGACATATCCACAGTCGTCCTAACTCATGAAGCCCCGTCCCCCATCTTCCTGTTCTCCCTTCCCTGTCCTCAGTGGGTCTTTCCTTCTTTCATTATTTTTGTTTTGTTTTTCTCTTTGAGTTGGGACCTTGGCTGGCATTGAACTTCTGGCCACATAAGAGGGCCCCCTGCCTCAAATTTTTTGTTTTGTTTTTTTTGTTCTTTTTTGTACTGAGAATCAAATTTAGGACCTCGTATTTATCAGGCAGCTGCTGCACCACACTAAGCTAAATCCCCAGCCCTTTTTCTTTCTTCTTCTACTTTTTTTTTTTTTTTTTTTTTGGTACTGGGAATTGGACTCATGACCTTGCACTTGCCACACACAGCTGCTGTGCTGCTGAGCTGTATCCCCAGCCCCTGCCTCAATTTGCTAAGCCGCTGGAATTGGAAGGTGTTTGCCATTGTGCTTACTTCTAATTCTTTCAAGTTGGGCATGGTAGGAAACGCCTATAATCCCAGCTGGAGGCTGAAGCAGGAGGTACAAGTTTGAGGCCAGCCTGAACAACTCAATGATTTAGCAAGACCCTGTCTCAAAATGAATAAAAAGGGTATGGGATGTAGCTTGGTACCAAGGCCTTGGATTCAGTCTTCAATACCATAAAGCAATATCAAATCTAAAAAAATCTGGGTCATTATTGTTTTGTCACCTTCTATTTCAAATATAGTTTTTACTATTTAATATTTTTGCAACTAAACATTTTCTTGAAAATCTGTTAGTTTAAATATCTTATGGGAGTTTGAAGGAATGAAGCCTTCCTGTATGCTTTTTGGGTGAAATAACTTAATAATGACATTTGGCCTGGGATTGTAGCTTAATGGTAGGTGCTTCCCTAGCTTGTGCAGAGCCCTGGGTTCCATCCCTAGCAGCACAAAAAGAAAAAGAAAAAACAATATCAGAAGGGATCCTTGATAAACAGGTTTATCAAAGCATAATTGTACTTGTATGTATGGTTGTTTTTTGCCCTTGTGTAATATTTCTTTTTGTTCTCTTTAAACAGTTGTTGGAGTACTTTGTAGAAGAGTATTTTGATCAAAATCCTATCAGTCAGGTATGTAGATAAATGATAGAATTCAGAATTGCGTAACTATTTTGCTGCTAAATATACGGTAATTTTTTTTAAAAAAATAGGATATACATTGTATCATTTGCTAAGTGATCTAGATTATATATTCTTTTTGGGTACATTTAGCAAAAAACAAAATAACTAAAAGTTTAACAGTAGGTGGTAAACTCAGCTAAATTTATTTGTTCAAAATACCGCAAGGAAAGTTTCTCATGTGTTGCTTATTTCTTTTGTAGGCATACTAATTTATTTTACATAAATTTTATCAAGAGGAAGTAATTTGTCATATTAAATTAATGATCTTTTTTTGTTTTGTTTTGAGATTGGAATAATTAATTGTAACTAAGAGTAAAAGAGCTGAGAAACTGACTGAACTCTCAGGTATGCGTTATATTACCTTTCCAGGACACAGGCACTTTGTCTTAATTACCCAGACATGTAACCTTGTTCTTATGGGTGTTTCATAAGTAAAATGACACCTTCCTGTATGCCTTTTAGGTGAAATAACTTAATAATGCCTGTTTTCCCATTAAACTCTTAGAATCTAAGATTAACTGTTTTAAACTGAGTTCTGCACAGTGGTGAATAGTATTACTGTGAATGTGAATCTGTTTCTTTAAGATATGTACAGTCTTCAATATTTTCTGAAAATATTAAAATAATCTTATTGAAACCATTCATAAAATCCACTTAATCTTCAACTTGACTTTTCAAAAAGTTAAACATTGAATTTAAAGACAACATGTATAAAAACTGAATTACAGCTTTCTTTTTTTGGTACTGGGGATTGAACTCAGAACCTTGCACCTGCCAGGCAGGCACCTTGCCACTGACCTAAATCCCTGGCCTGAATTATAGCTATTGTTAACTGAGTCCACTTTTCTATTTACATAACATGAATTTTACCTCACATAACTGAATTTTACTTCATAAAAGATAATAATGACCATTTTTATTTTCTTACCTATAGGTGCTGCTACAAACTGACATCATTTAATTCCACTTTACTTTTTGTAAAATAGCTCTACCTTAAATCAATTTCTCCATCTTTGCAATGCATAAGTGAAGTGACACGCTGTGTTTATGAATAATTTTTCACTATGACTGTAAGGAATAAGAGGTTTATTTATATGGATTGATCCAAGAAACTCAGTTGCAAGAAAATATAACAGTCTTGGTTGGAAGTGTGGCTCTGGAAGGCCCCAGTTTGGGTTGGTCTCTAGCACTAGAGGTGGGGCCATAACTAGCTTTCAGCAGCTCACAACGACCTCTGTGCCCTCTGTGTTCTGTGCTGACACATGTGGTAGTTGTTTCTAAGCATCAGGCCTTGTCTGGCTTCAGCCTTTGGTCAGGTTCCTGGGAGATGAAAAGGTCTCTGACAGCAGCCTTTTGCCTGCATGGCCCTTGTCCAGCTACACCCAGGTGCAGAGGGACTTTGGTTTTACCATTTGCCTACCCATGAGCTACCAGCACCACAGGACAGTGAGGAGTTTGGCCACCACCTGGGGTTGTATTCCTGCGCCCCGAGCAGAATGGAGGCAGGATGGCCGCAGGCTCAGCACAGCATGGGCCAAACAGGATGGTTACATGATGGTGGCAGGAGCTGGCCCCTCCTGTCTTGACTTTTCCACCCCAGATGTAGAGGAATTTTGTGTGCCACTGAGGTCACATGTATGAAGATTAAAAATCCTCTGGAGCCAGATATGGTGGGCATGTCTATAATCATAGCTGCTCTGGAGGCTTAGGCAGGAGGATCTTGAGATCAAGACCAGCTTGGATTGCACAGAAAGGTCAAGACTACATAGTGAGACAGTGAGACCTCGACACAAAATTGGCTCGGTTTTTTTTTTTTTTTTTTTTTTTTTTACAAATTAAGCATAGAAAAATTTATTGGGAAAATGGGTGGGGGGAATAGAAACAAGCGAGGTCCCAAATGGATTGCCCAACATGTTCATATTGTATGTATGGTATTTTTTAATGGCATTTGATAAAAGCAAATTGTTCCATTTAATTTAAGGAAACACATAACATCTTTGAAGAAAGCTATTGATATGACCTGTCATGGAGAACCATCTCTTTATAATTCCTTAAGCATGGCCATGCAGACTCTAAAGTTAGTATTTTACATTTCTTACTGAAAGTTGGTTTAGAAGTTTTTAATAAATTAATTGAAATGAGACTATGTTAACCGAAGTCTCCATAAAGCCAGTTATAACAAAGTGGGTAAGTAGAGAACTAGCTGTGTGTGGCAGTGCGCATGTATACTTCCAGCACCCTGAGAGGCTGAGGCAGGAGGATTGCAAATTTGAGCCCAGGCTGGGCAGCTTAGCAAGATCCTGTCTCACAGAAAGAGAGTGGGAGGTGGGCTGAGGATATAGCTCAGTGTGAAGGGCCTGGGCTCATTTCTCAGTACAGGGCTGCCAAAGGTTTAGGGATCACAAGTGGCGTGTAGTGTAGTATAATGAGTTGATTGTATCTTCACTGACATTTATTAACCTGTTTGATAGTATATCTATAAATTAATAGTACACGGTTCCTGCAAGTCCAGCTGTGTGGGTTGTAGCAAACCCCAAAGAAAATACTTTTACTTTTGAGATAGATAAGTACATAACAAAAATCATAAGAGCAAGCTCTTCAGTGGTATCTACAAATGTTAGTGGGGAGGATAATAATAAAACGTATAATTAACTGGTAAACTTGCTCCAAAAATGACAGAAATCCCTTTCTAGCATAGAAAGAGCTCACACAGCTTCACCCCTCATTGGGTCATCATTTAATTGTTAAACCACATGTGCATACCTTAAAGCTGACCCTATTGTATAGTCTTGTTTTTCACTGTACACGTTCAACTTCATATGAAAGAAGCCTATTGGACTATAAGCTTCATAATGTCAGGGGCTCAGTCAATATCATTTATCATTCTTTCCCTAGAATTTGAGAGAACTTTCTGTGTATTTCCATGAATAATTATGTAAAAAATACATAGCTCTTTTTTTTCTGTTTTTTTGTACTGGGGATCAAACTTATGACCTTGCACTTGCAAGGCAGGTGCTTATGCCATGGAGCTAAATCCTCAGCCCCTCTTTCAGTCTTTTTGAGACAGGGTCTCTCTATGCAGTTTAGGCTGGCCTTGGGCTCACTTTGTATCCCAGACTGGCCTCGAACTCACAGCAGTCCTCCTGCCTCAGCCTTCCAAGTGCTGAGATGACAGGTGTGCACCAACACACCTGGCTTTATAGCTCATTTTTTGAAAAATGAACATAAGGATCACTTGCCTGTCATGCACTAGTCCTGAACTCTGTCTTCAGCACTGAAAAAGAGAAAAAAAATGTATTTAAAACATTCTCAATTCATTTCCCTACAATGTTGAGACAAATGAGATATTCTATAGTCTGAATGTATAAAGCATGAATATTGTTCCTTTTAGATACATTTTTGGGGGTATAATTTGCTATAACTTAATGAGAGTACATTTTATCTCTTCTTTAGACACGTGCCTGGACACACAAATAGAGAAGTCCTCATCATCTTTAGCAGTCTTACAACTTGTGATCCATCGACTATTTATGATCTGATTAAGGTAGGACCAGTGCATCAAAAGTGAAGCTATAGCAGAGTCTGTGGCACATACCTCTAATCCCAGCACTCTGGGAGGCTGAGGCAGGAGGATTGCAAGTCAAGCTCAGCCTGGGCAACCTACTGATTTAGTGAGACACTGTCTCCCAATTTTTTTGGCAGGCATGATGGCACAAGCCCATAATCCCAGCACTTTGGAGGCTGAGGCAGGAGAATTGCCATGAGTTTGAGGCCAGCCTAGGCCACATAGTGAGTTCAAGGCTAGCCCAAACTACAAAAAGAAACGCTGTTTCCCAAAAACAAAACAAAACCAAAAAAAACTTTCTTAAGGGGAGAAGGAGCTAGGCATGGTTGTACGCTTCTATAATCCCAGCACTTTGGAGGCTGAGGCAGGAGGATTACCTTGAGTTTAAGGCTAGCCTGAGCTACATAATGAGTTTAAACCCAACCTAACTGTACAATAAGACTCTTGTCTCAAAAAAAAGGAAAGGGAAAGTGAAAGGGGATGAAAAAAGGAATTAAAATGTCTTATGTACAAGTACACTACACAAAAAGTACAAACATTTTGCACTGTATTCATGTACTGATAAAATGATTTTTAAAATGCTAAAAAATAAGACTTTTAAAAGGGCGCTGGGAATGTGGCTCAGTGGAGAGACCCTGGACTTAATCCCTAGGGCCCCCAAAAAACAAAAAAAAAAAAACCCAAAGTTAAAGCACTAAAGAGAATTCTGTACTGTATCCAGAGCATTATTTTTCAAGTACATTAATTCTTAATTAAATACTTTTCTTCTTAATTCTTCTTTTTCTTGGATTTGATGAAGACCCTGAAAGCAGCTAAAATCAGAGTGTCCATCATTGGGCTGTCGGCAGAGGTTCGGGTTTGCACTGCACTTGCTCGGGAAACTGGAGGTGTGTGTCTACTGTGTTCACTCTCTATTCATAATCATCATGTAAGGATTCACTGACTAAGCTAGGCTGTCGTAAGCCACTGAATCTAAATTATTTCATATCCATAGTCTAGCATATGAAGCCATCTTAAATATATTTTGTGTTGAGAAATCACCTCAAAGGGGAAGGAAATTTCAGTAATGTTTGTGTTTAGAGAAAGCATAACTCTTGAAAGGCTAGAAATTTTACTGTGTGTAATACTTTCTAAAGATTTCATAATTTGGCTTTTAATCAAATTGTAATTACTGTTCTTAGAGATACCAATTTAAAGTTCTTAAAAATGACAATTTAACTAAAATCTTAATTTTGAAGATGTACATTTGTAGATGTTAAAGCTTTTACAGGACTACATAGAAATTGTAATGTGTTCTTACATGTGTAAAGCTGTTGTTTGTTTCTTGTTAGGCATGTTCCATGTGATTTTAGATGAAAGCCACTACAAAGAATTGCTAACGCATCATGTTAGTCCTCCTCCTGTCAGCTCAAGTTCTGAATGCTCCCTTATTCGTATGGGTATGTGTTTGTTATTTTAAAAATACATATTTTTATTCATATGAGGCTTTCTGTTTTCATTTACTTAAGTTATTCTAAATTTGAGTTGGATTTTTTGGGGGCCATGATTTATGTCACACACTGACTGGTAATGCCAACACTCTGGAAGCCTAAGGCAGGGGAATCCCACATTGGAGACCAGCCTGAGGCAGCTTAATGACTTAGCAAGACCCTGTCACAAAATTTATAAAAAGGGATGAGGTTGTAGCTTAGTATGAAGGCCCTGGGTTCAGTTCCTAGCCCAACACACACACACACACACACACACACACACAAAGACAGTGTTGTTATTAAATTAGAAGATATAGATAAGCTGCATGTGGTGGTACACACCTATAATCCCAGCACTTGGGGCTGAGGCAAGAGGATCACTACAAGCTCGTGACCAGCCCTCTCTACAAAGCAAGAGACCTCGCCTTGGAAAAAACAAAGCAAAAAAAAAACCCCCAAAAAGAAAATATAGGCAACTGGAGGTTTAGCTCAGTGGCACAACTGCCTGCCTGGCAAGTATGAAGTTGTGAGTTCAATCTCCAGTACCAAAAAAAAAAAAAAAAAAGAAAAGAAAAGAAAATATAGATAAGAACTTCAGAATCTGAGGTCATGTGTAGACCTATCTTTCCCTCATTCCTCTATTTTTTCTTTACAGTAGTGCAGGTTTACAGTTAGTCTCAGGATAATAAGCATACACATATATCTCCTAAAAGATGGAAAAACAACTGTTTTTGAAAACAGCTTTTGTACAATTTTGTTGGCTCTCTGGTAGAAACATTTTTAGGTTCCTACCCCTAGAATTGTGCTTTTTGCTTGGTAAGAGAAATTAATACTTTATCTTTTCTGTGAAGGATTTCCTTAGCATATCATTGCTGCTTTGTCTGATCAAGGTGCAAAACCTTCATTCAGCATGACATAAGTAAAGACCAGTAATATTTTAGCACTTAAAATTCATTGTTCTAAGTTATAAATTAAAAGATGGGCTTGAAATGTGGCTTGTAATTAAAAATTACCTTTTGACCTGGGTGTGATGGTACACATGTGTAAATTTAGCACTCTAGAGGCTGAGGCAGGAAGATCACTGTGAATTCAAGGCCAGCCTGAAATACAGTGAGACCCTGTCTCAAAAAAAAAAAAAAAGAACCTTTTAGATAGCCATAAAAAGGAATGACTATATACACTATATTTCTGCAGTGAGATCTTCAGGAAATGTCAGTATAAGGAAGAGAGAAGGTGTGTAATTTGATGCCGTCTATCTAAAAAGAAGGAAGTGATGTGAGATGATTCAGTTGTGCTCAGAATAAAAACAATAGTAATGGATATAGGGAGTGAAAACTAAAGAGTGTGTTGGTGTTTAAGGAAAGGCAAAGTGATAGAACCTGGACTTATACTAAGTATGCCTTGTTTGAACTTCAGCACTTTGTATTTTATATAATTAAAAAACAAAAAGAAAGTGATTTTTTCTAAGTCACAGGCCTCCTTCCATTAAAGGTATAAAAAGGACTACATTTACTGTTCTAGAGGAAATAGTCACACAGCCAAGTGTCTACAGGCACATGCCTGTAATCCTAGTGGGGAGGCTGAGGCAGGAAGATCAAAGAGTTCAAGGCCAGGCTGGCAAGACCCTGTCTCAATAAACATTTTTTAAAAAAGAGGAAAAGGGAGGTATGTTGTCACTTAAATGACACAAATTTCAATATTTTCAAATAAAATTTAAAATTTTTGAAATCCAGAGTTTAAAGTCAAGGTAACATGTTTTGTTTTTCTTTCTTTCTTTTTTTTTTTTTTTTTTTTTTTTTTGTCTTTTTTGAGATAGGGTCTCACTATGCAGTTCAAGCTGGTCTTGGGCTCACTTTGTAGCCCAGGCTGGTCTCAACCATGTAACAATCGCCTGCCTCAGCCTCCCAAGTGCTGGGATTACAGGAATGCAACATGTTTTCTTTAGTTTTGAATTTTTAATTTTTTTTTTTTTTACTTTTTACATCTTTATATACATCATCTTTAAGGTAATTTTTTCCCCCCGCAAGTACCTGGATAGCAGTTCTAAACCAGGACTTACATTAGGAGGCTATTTTTGCCCACAGTGTTCAGCAAAGTACGGTGAGCTTCCTGTTGAATGTAAAATATGTGGTAAGAACCCAGTTATTCATTATTTAGTAAATTAATTTCAAATAATTTATTATCTATCATATTGGTAAAAATCAATGTTAAAAAATGTAAATGTTGAATTCCACCTAGGTTTCTGGGTATTTATGTGTCTGTGTGTGTGTGTGTGTGTGTGTGTGTGTGTGTGTGTGGTACTGAGGCTTGATCCCAGTACCCACTCTCTGCTCTGAGCTGCATCCCCAGCCCTTTTTATACTCGTGAGACAACGTCTCACTAAGTTGCCCAGGCTGGGCTCAAACTTGCAAAGTGTTTGGCTGAGCCTCCTGGAGTGTTGAATTACAGGTGTGTGTCATCAGGCCTGGTGTGGCTTTACTTTTTGCAAAGAGAAGTGGATTACTTTTTAAATTGAATGTCCAGTACTAGATTTCCAAGAATAAACATAATGTATAAAGTCTATTTCATTTACAAGTAAGCAAAAAGGCCCAGAGAGGTAATATGTGTAGTGACAGAGCTTACTCAGCCCTGGACACACCTGTGGTCCAAGGAAACTGAGCACCGAGCAGCAACAGATGCCGCTCACTCTCCAGGGAAGGAGCTCAGCAGTGGAAGGGTTGGCAAGCCTGCAACACGGCCTGGCTTCAGCCTCCAGTGCTGCAAAAAACAAAACTCCACTAAAAACACTTGCAAGTGCTTAGGCTGAGTTACAGATTTGGCTTCTTAGCTGTTGTCTCTATGAGGTGTGGCTGATTAAACATGCTTCTGTTTGTATGTTAGGTCTTACTTTGGTCTCTGCTCCCCACTTGGTGTGGTCGTATCATCATTTATTTCCCTTGGATGCTTTTCAAGAAATTCCCCTAGAAGAATATAAAGGGGAAAGGTATGAGTTTTGATTTATTTATATCTTTTCATAATGGCAAGCTAATGTTTGAGTAGATTGTCACTGCCTTTTAAAAAATAGTTATTAACTTGAGTAAGATTACTTCTGATATAGAAAATGAGACACAGCTGGGTATAGTGGTGCATACCTGTAACACAGCTGTAGAGACTGCTGAGGCAGGTGGATTGCAAGTTCAAGGAAAGCCTGACCAACTTAGATCCTGTCTCAAAGCTTAACAAAAGGGAAAAAAGGCCTGGGGATGTGATTTGCGGTAGAATACCCCTGGGTTCAATCAGGGAGGATCCTTGTTTATGAATGAAATAACCCATTTTAAACACATCTGTGTCTCCAGAAATTGTTAATTTCTTTCACCTCTTTGTAGTGAGAGTAATATACGTATGAGAGTGAAGCCAAGTATGATAGTTCATGCCATAATCCTAGCAATTAGGTGACTGAGGCACAAGGATCTTGAGTTCCAGGCCAGTCTGGGTTAAATAGAAAGTCCTGACCCAAAAAACAAGAACGGAAAAATCTTAGTATAAGCACACTTAGAGGAATATTTTTCAAAATTGTGTATGTAGATATTATCATGTTTTATATAATCAGTTCGTTTTTTGTTTTTTTTTTCAGTTGGTTTTTTTCTGTTTGTTTTTTTTTTTAAATCGGTACCGGGGACCATATGCTTGCAAGGCAGGAGCTTGTACCACTGAGCTAAATCCCCAGCTCCAATCAGTTGGTATTAATAAATAATGTTAGTAACTTTAACTTTGTATATGTATAAATGCATGACAAATTCTTAGAGGTAGAACTGCTGAATCAAAAGTTATGTGAATTTTAAGGCAGCTGTGGTGGTAAAAACCTGTATAATCCCAGCACTTGGAAGGCTGAGGCAGGAGGATCACCATGAGTTAGAGGCCAGCCTGGGCTACCTAGTAAGCTCCAGAGCAGCCTGATCTACATGAGACCCTGCCTCAAAAAGGAAAAAAAACAAGTGATTTAATAGATGTTGTAAAAATATCCTTTAAGGAGGTTTCATTTGTTGTTTGCTTACACTTGAACAGTATTAGAATTATGAAATTTTTTTATATTGGCCAACTTTTAAAAGATCTTATTGTTTTAACTTGCATTTATTTATTTACTTATGATTGAGGTAGACAGATTTAATGATAGAGTTGAAGAAATATTCCAGCAAGTAGAATACATGGCATAAAATGAAGAACCCAATAAAGGTAAAAAACCAAAAAAATCTGAACTGGTAGATTTTTCAAGAATGTCCAGTATAGGAATATGTGAGAAAGAAAGAAAAGAGAAAATATAGAATAGGAGATCATCAAATAAATAGTTTAAGGAAGTTTTCTACTATTAAAGAATAGTATTTTCTTGGTCAAAAAGGACTGTCAAGTGGTTAATTTATTGAAAAAAAAAACCAGACCCACACTAAAGTACATAACTGTATAATTTCCAGATATGTAGTGAAATACCCTAAACATTTCCAGAGGAGAAAAATTAGGTCACATGTCAAGGATCTGGGATTAAAATTGCTCAGCTTCTCATCAACAATATTGAATGCTAACAGAGAATTTCAGTGTTCAGACTTTGGCGTGAAAATACTACAGTTCAGCCAGGTGTGGTGGTGCATGCCTGTAATGCAGCAGGAGAACTGCTGTGAGTCCAAGGCCAGCCTGAGCTATAGAGTGAGACCCTGTCTCAAAAAAAAAAAAGACTTACAGAGAAGGATGAGCATGACATTAGTTTACACGTATGCACTGTTAGTCCAAGAAGTCTGAAGGAATTAAGTTCTCATCTTCCATGGTTGGAGGCTCAGAGCCAGTATTCGTAGAGCAGGAGTTAGCACTTATATAAGCATAAGTAAATATCACAGCTAAAAGTTTCGTTTCGTTTCGTTTAGTTTTTTTTAATTCCATGTTTGTGTATTTTTGAGACAGGGTATCACTCTATAACTCAGGCTGACCTTAAACTCACTGGCCCAAACTCACGGCAGTCCTCCTGCCTCAGTGTTGGGATCATAGGCATGCACCACCCCACTTGGCACAAGGTTAAAAGTTTTGAAAGTGCCTCTGGGAGCTGGGAATGAAATGGGGAGGAGCCAGGGAATTGCTGTTTTCAGTAATAAACAGAGAAATTTGTTTTTTTGAGAGTTCTGGGGTAGAATCAAGCCAGGGCCTCATATATAATCGGCGTGCACTGCACTGCACCCCGAGTCCCAGGTCTTTATACTGCTCCTTGAAAGTGAGACTGTCAGCCTTGAGGATGCACACCTGTAATCCCAGCACTCAGGAGACTGAGGAAGGAAGGTTGCCGCAAATTTAAGGCCACCCTGAACTACCTGGAGAGACCCTATCTCAAAAACCAGCCAGAAAACAAACAAAAATTTGAAAAGAAAGAAAATAAACCATTAGGCCCCCATTCTGTGTAAGAAGTTAACGTGTCTTCTGTTCATCTAGGATTGTATCTACTAAGTATAGGAGAGTTGAAAAATAGTAAATCATCTTCTGTAGGGCTTAATTCTCTTCTAGAACCCCAATTAGAAAGTATATGCATATTTAACCTTAAAACAAAAACTACATTTTGGGCTGTCTTGAGCTGGCTAACATACTGTAGAATTTTTTTTTTTTTTTTTGTCTTTTTCCTTTTTATCGGTACCGGGGATCAAACTCACAACTGCCTGCTTGCAAGGCAGGCGCTTATGCAACTGAGCTAAATCCCCAGCCCCTATACTATACAATTTTAAGAAACTGTTGGCATTCCTAACTCTTTCTGCCAAAGTTTGGTATAGAAGTAATTAGTAAGGGGTTTTAGTTACTCCAACTTGGTTATATCATTTTAACTAGTGAATTCTTTTTTTAAAAATGATTCTCAAACTTTCTTTTTCAGATTTTGTTATGGATGTCAGGGGCAACTGAAGGACCAACATGTGAGTCTTGACTTTCTAATAATAAGCTATGCATAAGAAAATAATACTATAATAAGTTTTCTGGAGGTTGTTGAAGACCAGGCTTACATCAGCTTATTTTCTATAAATAGTTATATACTAATTAGTAGACATAAAATGGGGAAAAAATCATCTAAATAGTAGTTTTGTAATTCTGCATTCTGATTTTGGTATGAAGACACTTAGTGCTTTGTCTTCTGTTTTTAAGCTAACTGCTTTTGTTTATTTAAAGTGTTGTGTTTTGCTTTTGTTACTAGGGGTAGAACCAGGGCCTAACCCACGCTAGGCAAGCACTCTACTACTGAGCTACAGCCCTGGCCCCATTGTGACTCCTTTGGAAGTTATCATTTAAGGTGGCCACAGATAAAAATTGTTAGTATTAGGAAGCATTTTTAAAATTTTTTAATACAGAGCCAGGCTAGTGGTGCCTGCCTGTAGTCCCAGCCAGTCAGGGGCATGACTGAGTTCACTGGGCCTGAGCCACACAGCGAGGCTCCATGTCAAGCAACCATGGCAGAGTTTAAAAAGAAGTTTTTGAAAGTAGTCAGTGCGATTATATAAAGTCATATAAATGCGAATGTCGTGTCTATTTTTAATATTTAGTGACATTTCCATATTTAAAAATACAAAGTCTATCAAGTGTTAATTAGCGGTATTACTTGTTTGAGGCTAGCAGTGTAGCTCAGTGGTAAAGCTCATGCCCAGTATGTATTTTAAGATCCTGGGTTCAGTCACCAGCACCCCACAAAACAAAACAAAAATGGCTTGTTTATTCCACTTGAATGTTTCATAAAATAATTTTATTAAATTTTACAGTCCTTGAGACGAGGGGTATAGCTCAGTGGTAGAAAGCCTACTTAATGTGTATGATCCAAGGTTCAATCTCTAGAACATTTCTCTTTGACATCTGTAGTTTATCCTCACTAAAATCACTTTTTCAATTGTTTTACAGTTTTTTGTTTTGTTTTGTTTTTTTGTACTGGGAATCAAACTCATGCTTGCCAGGCAGGTATTGTGCTGCCGAGCCATATCCCTAGCCCTTGTTTTCTAGTTTCTAAGAACATAATCTGGCTGAGTGTGGTGGCTCATTCCTGTAATATTAGCACTTAGAAGGCTGAGGCAGGAGGATCACCCAGAGTCAAAGGCCAGCCTGAACTACATAGTGAGATCTTCTCTAAAACAAAGCAAAACAAAACATCATCTTTACTTGTGTGTTAAGATATAGTGAGTAAGTTTTATCTCTAGTCAGAGGTATCTATATATGCAATGCTGATAGAATTGTGAGCTTTTATTCTCTATGTGTCAATTGACCTACTGCCTAATAGCTTAGTTGAAAGAGGAATATAATTTTTGCAGTTGTGAGGTTATTCTCTTAAAAATAACTAAACCCAGGGCTGGAGATACAGCTCAGCAGGGCAGCACCTGCCTAGCAACTTTGAGATCTTGAGTTCAATTCCTGGTGCCAAAAAAAAAAAAAAAGAAAGCCTCTTAAAAAAAGAACTAAACCCATGTTAACTTTTTGTGCTTCTCTTTTTACTCGGATCTGTCTGATGACCACCTCTAAACATTCATAGCTAGCACTGATTTGTGGTCACATGACTCCTCTGTGTTGTTACTTAAATGAAGTAGCTGAGAATATGTTATAATAAATTGACTTTGGGGGGATGGGGATTTAGCTCAGCGGCATAAGAACCTGCCTTGCAAGCAGGCGGTTGGGAGATTGATCCCCAGTTCCGATAAAAAAAAAAAAATTAAAAAAAATTAAATAAATAAATTGACTTTGAGGACTCAAATCAGAGTCATTTCTCCATTTCTAAGGATAGTTGGGGGAAGACATAAATCACATCAGATTTGAAAATATGTACTCGAGGTGGGTAGGGAAGCTTGCTTGCAATATAAATAGCAAAGCAACATAAATGTCTTCTAGCTGTGCTCACTTAACTGTTTATTTTTTATTTATTTTTTTCACTTAACTTTTAGACACTATCTTGGTTGATTCCTTTTGCTTCTTTCTGTTGCAGGTCTATGTGTGCACTGTGTGCCAGAATGTATTTTGTGTGGACTGTGATGTTTTTGTTCATGACTCTCTCCACTTTTGTCCTGGCTGCATTCATAAGATTCCAATTCCTTCAGGTATTTGATTCCAGTATGAGTACACATAATGTGTCAAAAAGTGTTGGGCACACCCATTATCCCAGCACTCAGGAGGCTGAGGCAGCAAGATCATTGAGTTTGAGGCCAGCCTGGGTTACATAGCAAGTTCAAGGCCACCATGAACTACATAGCAAGACTCTGTTTCAAAAAAAAAAAAAAAGAAAAAGAAATAAAAGATTTGAAACTATAAGGTGATTCTTTAGGGGAAACTCCAGTTAAAACATGAAGAACAGTTTAAGAGAAAAATCTGATATAAGAAACTTTTTTGTGGCTGGGTGTGTTGGCACACACCTGTAATCCCAGCACTTGGGAAGCTGAGGCAGGAAGATAGCTGTGAGTTTGAGGCCACCCTGAGCTGCATAGTGAACTCAAGGCCAGCCTGAACTACACAGCAAGGAAAAAAAACTTGTTACAAAACTATTAAGATTTTGTTTCTTGTCATAAAATGCCTGAAATTCAGTAGTATTTCATTCAACAAATTTTATATTATTTAGAGTCATGTGTTCAAAGTCCTTGTGCATTACTATGTGCAAATTATAATTGAAGTGCATTAAATGTTTGTGATTTATTTTAATTCATTAATTTAGTGTAAGAAGACATTAAGAATACATTGTAAGAGGTGGGAGTTAAGCTCAGAGGTGTTGATGCCTGGTACCAAAACAACCAACTAAACAGACAAACAAAAAACACATTGTAAGATGGAAGTTATATAATAATTATGAAATGTTAACACTTATGAAATAATGCACTTGCTGCATCCTCCAGAATGTTCTGTTTGGACTTAAAATATTTGGAGTTCAATTATAAAATCTGAAGTGAAGTTCTCTGGCTGTGACCAACAGGAGGCTTTTAGGTTTAACACACCAACTCACAAGCCCACACCACCCTTGGCACCAATTCACAAGAAAGAGATAAAAGAGAACCACAGCCTGGAGCAGGGGCACATCCCATCCCGCCATGGGGTCTGGACACAGCTTTGCAGGCAGGGGTCTCTTAACTGCGAGGCTGGCATCTTCCCTCTTCGTGGTCACAGGGCTTCCATGCTTAAACAATAGTGGAATTCCAGCAGTGGAAAAAGGTTTTGGCCTCTTTTATGCACTGCATTGATTCCTTTTAAAATACCATACAGAATGCAGGATGTTGGATGCCACCATTTTGGTTGGTGGTTACCTGAGTCTTGCTTGTGTAGTTCAGGCAAATGAAACCAAAGTTGAGATATCTTCTTCTTTGAACCTCAATTATTGTCTTCCATTATTCTGCGCTGGGTCACTAGGGAAATTTAGCTGAGAAGATCTGTTTTTTTGTTTTTGTTTTGGTACCGGAGCTCGAACTCATGATCAGGCACTTGCAAAGCAGATGCCTATGCCGCTGAGCTAAATCCCTAGCTCCCAAAATCTGTTTTTAGGTCCAGTGCAGCTTTATTGTTGTAGAATTCTTCAAGATGTGCCCTGTTGAGAGTGAATAAAGCTTCCATTCCGCAACAAAGGTGTGTACTGTGTATTTTATATCTGTAGACTTTAGTCACTCTAGATAGAGTTTCACCTTGAGGTTTATGATCTTATAAATAAGAATTCTTAGTGAAGGACATTATCAGTAATGATGATGTAATTCCATGCTAGAGATTTTATTTTTTTAAATTTTTTTTTTATTTAAAGAAAAGGAAACAAAAAAATACATGGAGATAAAAAGGGGTAGAAATAATACAAAATTACAGAAAAACAAATGGTAAGAAATCGCTGGTTGATAAGTTACATATTGTCATCTTAGAAATAGCTGTTCAGGTTACAAAATTAAAGTATTTAAAATGACATTCAAAAAGTGACACTGCAAACAGTTCTGCTCAATGATCGAACAAAAACTCAGTAATATGGTTATCAGTCCTACACACTTGTTTTACATCTCAAAGAGGGTAAGATTAAACATATCAAAACAGAACAAAACAGTTAAAAAATAATTTAAAGAAATACAGATTTCAAAGCAAGTCCACTAGAGATCTTCACTGTCTGTCTAACTGTCTCTAGTTTCTTACAAATAGTTGTCTCCATCTTCACCCACATTATATACTCATTGCCTATTATAGAACTAATCAAATCGTTACAGGATGATGAAGGCTTTTTAGGTCTTCAAGATCCAACATTAGGGAAGACAATAATAACTACCATCGCATCTCTCATTCTCTTCGTGGTAGCCATCCCCATCTCTACATATGCTGAAATTGAACTCAAGAGACCAGACCAATGTCATTCTAATCAGCGAACAATAGTATTGCTAGAATTTATATCATAATGCTACAAATTAGCATTAGGTTTCTTAGTGTCTCTTCTTCAGAGTATCTGTTCATTACATCTTGCATTATATAATCTGTTCCTATAAATAATTTAAAAAAAAAAAACTCATGTGTGAATTTCTACATATATATCTATCCTCTCTGTATTATAGGGAAAAACAAGTTGTAACAAGACAGCAAAACAAATTCCTAGAAGAACATGCAATGGATAAGACATATAAGACCACAATATAGGTGATCTTCCATAGTTACTATGTTTTCTCTTGTTATTTTCAATAGATTTGTCCACAATATTGGCTTAATATAGTTAAACATAGTATTACCTATTTTTATAAAAACACAACTTTGAAAGCATTGTAGGATTTGAGAGCTATTAATAATTAATACCAGTATGGATATCCTTTACATCTTGTCATCTTCAAAGTAGTTGCCTCTACTTTTAGGGTTGATACTAACAAGCATACCAAATTCAAATAAAATCAGCCAAGGCCAACCCATAGTCTTATGATTCAGATTCAATTAAGATCAATCATAGTAAGACAATGTAAGTAATACAGGATTTCAGTTTAAGTTAATAGGAAAGTAAGGATAGTTACCATGGTATAACCTGCTATTTTTGGGTCAGATGTCTGTGCCCTCAAATCTGACATGAGTGGACAGACCAGAACAAATTAAATTCAAACTAAATATGGTGATAAGACTACTGTGTCTTTTAAATCCTGATACACTATTAACAATGACTTCTGCCTTTTTAAATAATGTTTCAGAGCTGTCTATACCTAAAGACTATAGCTTACCGTCTCTGCCTCATGTCTGCTACTCCACTTTTCTGCTATAATTTGTCCACCTTATTCTCTCATTCCACTGTCTGCCCCGTTCATTGAGGCCTCTCTGCCACTGTTGCTGGAATCCTGGTATCCCTTCTTTTCTTTCTCTGTAATGTCCTTCAGCACTCTCTGTAGGGTTGGATTGGTGGCCATGAACTTCCACAGTTCCTCCTTGTCTTGGAAGCGTCTTATTTCTCCATTAATTTTGAGAGAGAGTTTTGACGGGTATATGAGTCTTGGTTGCATATTATTTTCTTTCAGGACTTGGAATATTTCTCCCCATTCCCTTCTTGACTTAAGAGTTTGTGTTGATAAGTCTGTTGTTATTTTGATAATTTTCCCATTGTAGGTAATCTGCTTCTTTTCTCTACCTGCTTTAAATATTCTGTTCTTTTGGTGGATTTCTGGAATCTTGATTATTATATGTCTAGGCATAGATCTGTTTTGGTTGTAGGTAGCTGGTGTTCTGTATGCCTCTTTTATTGGGATATCATTTCTTTTTGCTATACATGGGAAATTTTGCTTTAATATATCTGTGAATATTCTTTGTATTTCATTTTTGGTTGCTCCTGCTTCCTCACTCACATTCTTTATTCTTAAATTGTATCTTTTTGTCATCTTCTAGCCTTTGAATTGTTTCTTTCTGGTTCCTTGTTATTTTTAAGAGGTTTTTTCTTTCACGATCATATGTCAAATCTCTCTTCAAGTTTCAGAAGGCTGGCTTTAGTTTCTGTCGGGATATTTTGCCAGTGTTCAATGGAGTTTTTAGTTTCCTGGTAATCTCTTTGGATCTGTTTCATGTATTCTAAGTTATGTTTAAATTCTTCTTCAGAAGTTTCTCTTTTCTGATTTCTTCAGTTCTTCCATCTGTGTTCTCTTGGGCAGGGCTTGTCATTTCTTTAATTAATCTCTTTATAGCTTGCTTCACTTGGATCAGGAGTACAGCTTTAAATTCATCTATGAGGTCATGGAGGTATTTTTTAATTTTGGCTGATGCTGTGTCCAGTATTGGATGGTTACTGTGCTTGTTCTCTTCAGTGTTTAGTTCTCCTGGGCTTATTTTCTCATATTGGGCATCTGGAGATTTTTATTTTTATCTCTTGTCATGTTTCTGGTTTCTTTCAGACTGGAGTGTCCTGGGGGGTCTCTGGCCCTCTCTGTATTGCTTAGGGCCTTTCAGAAGCATGCTGACTTGAGTTTTTGCTGTCCTCCCCAATTTGCTGTTATCTGGGGTAAGCAGGCATGCAGGGACGGTGCAGGCTAGCCTCCAGCCTCTGTGCCAGTCAATCCGTAAATTAGGCTGTACTTTCTGGATGTCACAGAGTTGTGACTATTTTGTATCTGCTTATTGGGGCCCAAGCAGAGGCTTGGTTCAGCCCCAGCAGATCCTGCCAGTTCTCTCTGTGCCAGAAGCAGCTGACTAATGTCACCGTGGCACAGAGTTCTGCCCAAATCCCAGCTGTTCTCTTCCAGACCTCTCTGTGCCAGGAGCACCAGGAAAGCAAGTGTGCCCAATTCCAAGATGTCTTCCACTAGTTCTCTGTATGACGCTGAAGCCAACATGGCGTCAGGCTCTGCCCAATTTCAAGATGTCCTCCATCAGACCTCTGTACAGGGCGACTCGGTGATGTCACCAAGCCACAGGTTCTGCACAACTCTAAGATGTCTTCTGCCAGACTCTCTGTGTTAATGATGTCCCTGTGGTGGGGGGCTCTGCCCAGTTCCAAGATGTTCTCTGGCCAACCCCAGCAGCCTCGGGACCCAGTCCCCAGTACTCACCAGGGATCGGTGCAGGTCCTCCTCTCTAAAATTATTATTTAAAAAATTGGGGCTGGGATTCAGCAGCATAAATGCCTGCCTGGCAAGTGTAAGATTGTGAGTTCAATCCCCAGGGGTTGGGGAAATCAAACTCAGGACCTTGTGCTTGCCAGGCAGGTGTGGTGCTACTGAGCTATATCCCTGGCCCTAGGGATTTTATTTAATAAACCTTGGCTGAGGCCTAGAAATTGATATTCTCTGTAAACACACACACACGCTGGTGCATAAGGTAACAAAAGTAAAAGATGTTGCAGTTAGTATTCATATGGTAAAGGCAATTTTGAATGTAAAGGAAATTTTAAAACTTGGATTTCTAATACTATTCAAGGGTGGTACTGGGAAGTGCAAGCTGTTCTCATAATTAAAAAAAAAAAATACAAACTCAACTAAGCCTTGACATCCCCCACGCCAGCTAAAACTTGTAGACAAATGTAACTCAACCAAACAGTGCATCTTGTTGAACTAGCTTGCTTTCAAGTTCTTAAGGACAGACTAACTCAGTGATAGGCAATGAATGATTCTTCCTGTTCCCCACAATCCTGATCCCCAAATTATACAATAGTAACCCGAATTAGCTTACATAAAATAAGCCTGCTTGAGAGCATATGACTCAGTTTATGTAACCAATTATAAAAGATCCTGTTACCTGTCTTCAGACCTCCTTCTGAAAACATACATAAGTGACTGTCAGCTTCAAATTAGGGCTGCTGATTTAGAACTAAAATTCCATTCAGCCTGCTAGGGTAATAAAGCCGTATGTCTTCCAAAGTTCCTCTGGCGCTATGTCTTCTGTCTGGTCTGGACCTGAACCTCATAGCAGTATTTTTTGAGCCGAGACCCAGTGGTTTTTTGTTTGTTTGTTTTTTGGGTTTTTTTTTTGTTTTTTTTTTTGAGACAAGATCTCACTGTGTAATTCAAACTTGCTTTGAACTCCCTCTGTAGCCTAGGCTGGCCTTGAACTCACAGCAATTCTTCTCCCTCAATCTCTGCATAGGTGTGCACTACCATGCCTGGGGGCCCACTGGTTCTCTACGTGGAAACAAATTATAGTTACAGGTAACCTGGTACCTGCCATCTTCTCTCCTCTTTGACAAAAGAGGTAGCAATGATGTGCGTGCAATACCTTTAACATTGTCCAAGTGTTCTACTTCTTTCTCCCTGATGGCTTAGAGGCAAGACCTTGGGTCACCTCTTAAAGTTTCTGGAACTGTCACAGAGACTCATCCTACAGATTTAACTTTCAAGTATCATTTTCTTTCTTGATGAAGTTAGGGTAAATATTTTAATTATACTAAAGAGAAGCTTCGCTTTCCACAAGATAGAGGAAAATCTTGGATTGTTGAAGATTCCAGAAATGGGAGTTAGGATTGTAGCTTAGTGATAAAGTGCTTGTCTAACAAGTGCAAGACCCTGTGTCCAGTCACCAGCACTGGAAAATAATTGCAGAAATAGAAATGATGATTAAGGCAGTTCTGACCTTTAGTTTCTTTATTGAGATTCTTAGCGTATTATAATATATTTTAAGTATTTTCAAATAGGTAGTTTGTTACCTT